CACATACAGCCTTAACAATATATTGCACAACTTTTCGGAGGTTCTGGTTATCAATGCTCTCCATCAATTTGGCTGCCAAAACATGCCAAAAGTATTGGATGGAGCGCCGCTGGTGAGTATTTTTAGACGAAACGATCGTCTGGCGTAACAAGGTATATGATAAGTCTTACAACCACTTGGTCGTTGGCCATTTGTTGCCACCAGTCAAATAGTAAACACTTTTTGATTCCATATATAAACTTTCGTTGGTACGGTCATTTTCCGTAAGTGTTCTCTTTACAAAGTTTCAATTTTGAGTTATTCGAATCTATTCTCAAACTCAAACATAAATGGCCTGCGTCTTATTTCGCACAACTTTTTGGAATTTATGATTTTCAATGGAGTTCAACTTCGTATATGATTCGGACTTCCACATTTTGGGATTCGAATGCCACTGATGAGTCTGATGTAGACGAAAGAAATGTATGGTACTGCGAAACACCCCATATCTTTTAGAAAAGGGGAAGTTGTATGTTTTTAATGTACGTTTTGTTAATCTAGTTTAAACTAGGAGGTTTGAGATATTAAACACTAATTTTATTCCACCTCGCCTAGAAAGCCTGCGTCAAGTCGTGTATATCGTCAAAAGTTGTCGTGTCTCATATCTTAATGTTTTTTCTTCCCGAAAAATGGCTGCAAATGTCAGAGCATTGATTGAATCTGTTAAATATTTGCACAACTCTGAGACGATTTAGAGCTTGACGTATTGTTAATGTTACAAAAGAGCATAGTTTGTCTTCGTGCAAATTAACTGTCACAGTAAGCCACCGCTCCACCAACTGGATAATTACTCCACATGCGTAGATTAAGGGATTACTTATGTATCAACTAGGGCAAGGAAAGCATCGCTGCATAAACACTTGTCTATCGTTGAAGACAATATGATGCCCTTTAGACATGTTCAATGTTTTTTTGTTAATTTGTCGTGTGGTTGTTTTCTCATTTACGTATACAAAATATCCTCATTTTCATAACTGTAGTCAAGTGACAGTCATTGTCCATGGGTTATATGATAATTTTTTTCTGTGGTGTTGATCCTTTTTTGACTTTTAGTGAAATCCAATGATGGTGGGAAAGCAGCTTTAAGGATAGATCACACACACCAAATGAAGGTGGAAAACTTGACACAAATGACATGATAAGTAATACATGCACCCTGTCAGGGTTTAATATAGTTGGTTGAACAATTGATACACAGATCAAAACAGACAGACAACGTCAAGTAAACCAAAACCAGTTGTTGGCATGATACGGGTTATGTTCTTCTCGTATAAGTTATGATGGCATGATGCTGTTCTAAACCCCTAACGGAAGGGATTGTGGTTGATTTTCATATGATAAAAACATAATGTTTCGATCATTTTAATTGAGGTCTGGAACTGGCATGTGAGTAACTGCTAGTAGTCCTTTGTTAATTTATGTTGATCATTGTCATTTTGCTAAGTTTTTTTTGCTACCTATTATAACACATGACTCGCACTTCTTTTAAACTGAGTGTTACCGTACGTATTGCTGTGTGTTTGTTTACTTAGTATTTCACATTGGCTAGATGTATAGGGGAGGGTTGATATCTCACAAAACATATTTAACCCCGCCGCATTTTATAGCGCCTGTCCCTGGTCATGAACCTATATCCTTTGTAAGTCTTGTTTTTTTTTTGGTTCATTTGTATGTTTAGGAGTTCAGTGTGACGTCCATTTCGGTGAACTAGTTATCGGAATTCCAATGGGGACTAACTGTGCACCACTTATTGCGGACCTGTTTTTGTATTGTTATGAGTTACAATTTATGACTAAAATCAGCAAAGACCCATCGAAACAACATCTGATACAAAATTTTAACAATACTTTAAGATATTTGGATGATATATTAGCTCCCAATAATGACGACTTCAGTATGTATACTAAAGAAATTTATCCTGTTGAACTTACTTTAAATAAAGCTAATACTAACAATGACCTTTCCTCGATCTTAACATCTATATCATTAACGAGAAGCTTAATACACAAATTTATGATAAAAGAGATGATTTTTCATTTCCTATCGTTAATTATCCATTTTTAGATGGTGACGTTCCCTTGTCACCATCTTATGGTGTTTATATATCTCAACTTGTACGATTTGCTCGTGTATGTAACAACGTATTAGATTTTAGCGAGAGAAATTTATGTATTACTGAAAAATTATTACACCAGGGTTTTCGATATCATAAACTTGTCAAAACATTTACTAAAATTAACCAGACTCAAGCTAGCGACCAATTCTAGCAACCAATCAAGCTAGCGACCAATTCTAGCGACCACTAAAGAACACAATGAGAATCAACTTGTCTAAGAATCATTATGTGGTATATGAAAAAACCACAACACCACATTATGAAACAACGTTCTGTTAAAAAGAAAATCTATCTACCAGTACGGTATATATATTGTTTTTTAACGTTTAAATGACCAGAAATGTCCATCAAATTAAGGGAGAAGGGACACTACAATACGAATGACGTCTGTAGCTGAATGAACTAACTAGTTTGGTTGCTAAATGTCTGCATCAATATCAATGAGTAAAATATAACGTGCCAGAAAATCGTAAAAGTCAAAACAATTTAATACAATAGAAAAACAAAGGATATAGGGTATCCCTCCATGACACAAAATCAGTAAATGCACAGCGAAAAACACACAAAAAGCTAAGGAACATTCTTTGTTAACGAACTATTTTTATTCCCCTACATTCGAACACATACTATATGTTATCATATATGTATTTATATAAATAAAAGTGCGCCCCTCTCCGGAGTTTATTCTATTGGGAGAGGGACTAGTTGGGAAATAAAGTAATCCATATTTTGACGTCTTCTTTACGTTTTCTCTGTTTTCCAAACTCTAATCCGAGATCGCAAAGATAAATCAATTATTGTAAACAAAATATTAAAAACGGAGCGTATATCCCCCAAGCACATAATGGTTATACAATAGTACTTTGCGGTTTAGAAATCAGAATAAAAAGCTAAAGAGTTTTTTTTAATTTGAATAATAAAAAAAAAAAAGAGTGTTTGTTTATGATGATTTGCTCGCACAATCGTTTTCAATATTCAGTGAACCGTAAATAATTTAAAAAGTACATATTTTAATGAACATGTGTACCTAGTTTCAAGTTAACCAGACTACAACGTCATCTTAGACTAGATTCAACACTAACGTCATCTTAATGCAGTATGAATGGACGGACAAACGGACAAACGAATTAACGAACGAACACAAAAACCAGATAATATTATGGGCTTTACTGTCGTAGGCGGAGCATAGAATAACTATTTAATGTGAGTTCACTTAAACTTGTTCCTTTGTACAATGTATCAGCTTTCAAATAAACGAAATAAGAAAAATATTATGTGCGAAAGAATAACTATATACTGGCTTTCCATACACTCGGCATCCTCAGATATCCTTTATTTTCTAGAAAAGGAACTTTTAATGTCTATTCCCTATACTGAAAATGAAAACATACAAAATAACAACATTTCATGCCCACAAACTATATTTTGAATTGAAAGTATACGTGCACTATTTTGTACGGCATGCATCCTTACTTAAAAGAAATGTAAAGATTTTTTTGTTTAAAAAAAAGACCGTACACTTTGAATGTCAACTTTGAACCCCTTCAATTCCCAGAAAGTCCTAACCCCCAAAAAATCATTTCAGTGGGTCCTGCTCTGATTCATTACCTTTCATTTGAGCTATGTCCGGTGTCGAACTTTGCCGTACGGAGCTGGCGAGACTTGCCGAAAGAATGTACGGTGGACACGTAAAAAAAAAAATAATACAAACTTTGAACCCCTTCAATTCCCAGAAGGTCCTAACCCCCAAAGAATCATTTCAGTGGGTCCTGCTCTGATTCATTACCTTTCATTTGAGCTATGTCCGGTGTCGAATTTTGCCGTACGGAGCTGGCGAGACTTGCCGAAAGAATGTACGGTGGACACGTAAAAAAAAAAATAATACAAACTTTGAACCCCTTCAATTCCCAGAAGGTCCTAACCCCCAAAAAATCATTTCAGTGGGTCCTGCTCTGATTCATTACCTTTCATTTGAGCTATGTCCGATGTCGAACTTTGCCGTACGGAGCTGGCGAGACTTCCCGAAAGAATGTACGGTGGACACGTAAAAAAAAAAAATAATACAAACTTTGAACCCCTTCAATTCCCAGAAGGTCCTAACCCCCAAAAAATCCTTTCAGTGGGTCCTGCTCTGATTCATTACCTTTCATTTGAGCTATGTCCGGTGTCGAACTTTGCCGTACGGAGCTGGCGAGACTTGCCGAAAGAATGTACGGTGGACACGTAAAAAAAAAAATAATACAAACTTTGAACCCCTTCAATTCCCAGAAGGTCCTAACCCCCAAAAAATCATTTCAGTGGGTCCTGCTCTATTCATTACCTTTCATTTGAGCTATGTCCGGTATCGAACTTTGCCGTACGGAGCTGGCGAGACTTGCCGAAAGAATGTACGGTGGACACGTAAAAAAAAAAATAATACAAACTTTGAACCCCTTCAATTCCCAGAAGGTCCTAACCCCCAAAAAATAATTTCAGTGGGTCCTGCTCTGATTCATTACCTTTCATTTGAGCTATGTCCGGTGTCGAACTTTGCCGTACGGAGCTGGCGAGACTTGCCGAAAGAATGTACGGTGGACACGTAAAAAAAAAAAGAATACAAATTTGAACCCCTTCAATTCCCAGAAGGTCCTAACCCCCAAAAAATCCTTTCAGTGGGTCCTACTCTGATTCATTACCTTATATTTGAGCTATGTCCGGTGTCGAACTTTGCCGTACGGAGCTGGCGAGACTTGCCGAAAGAATGTACGGTGGACACGTAAAAAAAAAAATAATACAAACTTTGAACCCCTTCAATTCCCAGAAGGTCCTAACCCCCAAAAAATCATTTCAGTGGGTCCTGCTCTGATTCATTACCTTTCATTTGAGCTATGTCCGGTGTCGAACTTTGCCGTACGGAGCTGGCGAGACTTGCCGAAAGAATGTACGGTGGACACGTAAAAAAAAAAATAATACAAACTTTGAACCCCTTCAATTCCCAGAAGGTCCTAACCCCCAAAAAATCATTTCAGTGGGTCCTGCTCTGATTCATTACCTTTCATTTGAGCTATGTCCGGTGTCGAACTTTGCCGTACGGAGCTGGCGAGACTTGCCGAAAGAATGTACGGTGGACACGTAAAAAAAAAAATAATACAAACTTTGAACCCCTTCAATTCCCAGAAGGTCCTAACCCCCAAAAAATAATTTCAGTGGGTCCTGCTCTGATTCATTACCTTTCATTTGAGCTATGTCCGGTGTCGAACTTTGCCGTACGGAGCTGGCGAGACTTGCCGAAAGAATGTACGGTGGACACGTAAAAAAAAAAGAATACAAATTTGAACCCCTTCAATTCCCAGAAGGTCCTAACCCCCAAAAAATCCTTTCAGTGGGTCCTGCTCTGATTCATTACCTTTCATTTGAGCTATCTCCGGTGTCGAACTTTGCCGTACGGAGCTGGCGAGACTTGCCGAAAGAATGTACGGTGGACACGTAAAAAAAAAAAAAATAAAAACTTTGAACCCCTTCAAATCCCAGAAGGTCCTAACCCCCAAAAAATCATTTCAGTGGGTCCTGCTCTGATTCATTACCTTTCATTTGAGCTATGTCCGGTGTCGAACTTTGCCGTACGGAGCTGGCGAGACTTGCCGAAAGAATGTACGGTGGACACGTAAAAAAAAAAATAATACAAACTTTGAACCCCTTCAATTCCCAGAAGGTCCTAACCCCCAAAAAATCATTTCAGTGGGTCCTGCTCTGATTCATTACCTTTCATTTGAGCTATGTCCGGTGTCGAACTTTGCCGTACGGAGCTGGCGAGACTTGCCAAAAGAATGTACGGTGGACACGTAAAAAAAAAAATAATACAAACTTTGAACCCCTTCAATTCCCAGAAGGTCCTAACCCCCAAAAAATCATTTCAGTGGGTCCTGCTCTGATTCATTACCTTTCATTTGAGCTATGTCCGGTGTCGAACTTTGCCGTACGGAGCTGGCGAGACTTGCCGAAAGAATGTACGGTGGACACGTAAAAAAAAATAATACAAACTTTGAACCCCTTCAATTCCCAGAAGGTCCTAACCCCCAAAAAATCATTTCAGTGGGTCCTGCTCTGATGTATTACCTTTCATTTGAGCTATGTCCGGTGTCGAACTTTGCCGTACGGAGCTGGCGAGACTTGCCGAAAGAATGTACGGTGGACACGTAAAAAAAAAAATAATATAAACTTTGAACCCCTTCAATTCCCAGAAGGTCCTAACCCCCAAAAAATCATTTCAGTGGGTCCTACTCTGATTCATTACCTTTCATTTGAGCTATGTCCGGTGTCGAACTTTGCCGTACGGAGCTGGCGAGACTTGCCGAAAGAATGTACGGTGGACACGTAAAAAGAAAAAATAATACAAACTTTGAACCCCTTCAATTCCCAGAAGGTCCTAACCCCCAAAAAATCATTTCAGTGGGTCCTGCTCTGATTCATTACCTTTCATTTGAGCTATGTCCGGTGTCGAACTTTGCCGTACGGAGCTGGCGAGACTTGCCGAAAGAATGTACGGTGGACACGTAAAAAAATAAATAATACAAACTTTGAACCCCTTCAATTCCCAGAAGGTCCTAACCCCCAAAAAATCATTTCAGTGGGTCCTGCTCTGATTCATTACCTTTCATTTGAGCTATGTCCGGTGTCGAACTTTGCCGTACGGAGCTGGCGAGACTTGCCGAAAGAATGTACGGTGGACACGTAAAAAAAAAAATAATACAAACTTTGAACCCCTTCAATTCCCAGAAGGTCCTAACCCCCAAAAAATCATTTCAGTGGGTCCTGCTCTGATGTATTACCTTTCATTTGAGCCATTTCCGGTAAAAAAAACTTTGCCGTACGAAGCTGGTGAGGCTTTCCGAAAGAGTGTAGGGTGGACACGTATTTTTTTTTAACAACAACTTTGAACCCCTTCAATTCCCGAATGGGCCTAACACCCCAAGAATTATTTCAAAGGGCTCTGCTCTGATTTATTATCTTTCATTTGAGCCATGTCCGGAAAAGAACTTTGCTGTACGAAGCGAGCGAGGCTTACCGAAAGAGTGTAGGGTGGACACGTATTTTTTTTAACAACAACTTTGAACCCCTACAATTCCCGAATGGGCCTAACCCCCAAAAAAATATTTCAGTGGGCTCTGCTCTGATTTATTACGTTTCATTTGAGCCATGTTTGGTAAAGAACTTTGCCGCACGAAGCTGGCGAGGCTTACCGAAAGAGTTTTTTTTACGTTTTCACCGTACATTCTTTCCGCAAGTCTCGCCAGCTCCGTACGGCAAAATTCGACACCGGACATAGCTCAAATGAAAGGTAATGAATCAGAGCAGGACCCACTGAAATGATTTTTTGGGGGTTAGGACCTTCTGGGAATTGAAGGGGTTCAAAGTTTGTATTATTTTTTTTTTTAACTGTCCACCGTACATTCTTTCGGCAAGTCTTGCCAGCTCCGTACGGCAAAGTTCGACACCGGACATAGCTCAAATGAAAGGTAATGAATCAGAGCAGGACCCACTGAAATGATTTTTTGGGGGTTAGGACCTTCTGGGAATTGAAGGGGTTCAAAGTTTGTATTATTTTTTTTTTTACGTGTCCACCGTACATTCTTTCGGCAAGTCTCGCCAGCTCCGTACGGCAAAGTTCGACACCGGACATAGCTCAAATGAAAGGTAATGAATCAGAGCAGGACCCACTGAAATGATTTTTTGGGGGTTAGGACCTTCTGGGAATTGAAGGGGTTCAAAGTTTGTATTATTTTTTTTTTAACTGTCCACCGTACATTCTTTCGGCAAGTCTTGCCAGCTCCGTACGGCAAAGTTCGACACCGGACATAGCTCAAATGAAAGGTAATGAATCAGAGCAGGACCCACTGAAATGATTTTGTGGGGGTTAGGACCTTCTGGGAATTGAAGGGGTTCAAATGTTGTAATATTTTTTTTTTTACGTGTCCACCGTACATTCTTTCGGCAAGTCTCGCCAGCTCCGTACGGCAAAATTCGACACCGGACATAGCTCAAATGAAAGGTAATGAATCAGAGCAGGACCCACTGAAATGATTTTTGGGGGGTTAGGACCTTCTGGGAATTGAAGGGGTTCAAAGTTTGTATTATTTTTTTTTTACGTGTCCACCGTACATTCTTTCGGCAAGTCTCGCCAGCTCCGTACGGCAAAGTTCGACACCGGACATACCTCAAATGAAAGGTAATGAATCAGAGCAGGACCCACTGAAATGATTTTTTGGGGGTTAGGACCTTCTGGGAATTGAAGGGGTTCAAAGTTTGTATTATTTTTTTTTTTACGTGTCCACCGTACATTCTTTCGGCAAGTCTCGCCAGCTCCGTACGGCAAAATTCTACACCGGACATAGCTAAAATGAAAGGTAATGAATCAGAAGCAGGACCCACTGAAATGATTTTTTGGGGGTTAGGACCTTCTGGGAATTGAAGGGGTTCAAAGTTTGTATTATTTTTTTTTTTACGTGTCCACCGTACATTCTTTCGGCAAGTCTCGCCAGCTCCGTACGGCAAAGTTCGACACCGGACATAGCTCAAATGAAAGGTAATGAATCAGAGCAGGACCCACTGAAAGGATTTTTTGGGGGTTAGGACCTTCTGGGAATTGAAGGGGTTCAAAGTTTGTATTATTTTTTTTTTTTACGTGTCCACCGTACATTCTTTCGGGAAGTCTCGCCAGCTCCGTACGGCAAAGTTCGACATCGGACATAGCTCAAATGAAAGGTAATGAATCAGAGCAGGACCCACTGAAATGATTTTTTGGGGGTTAGGACCTTCTGGGAATTGAAGGGGTTCAAAGTTTGTATTATTTTTTTTTTTACGTGTCCACCGTACATTCTTTCGGCAAGTCTCGCCAGCTCCGTACGGCAAAATTCGACACCGGACATAGCTCAAATGAAAGGTAATGAATCAGAGCAGGACCCACTGAAATGATTCTTTGGGGGTTAGGACCTTCTGGGAATTGAAGGGGTTCAAAGTTTGTATTATTTTTTTTTTTACGTGTCCACCGTACATTCTTTCGGCAAGTCTCGCCAGCTCCGTACGGCAAAGTTCGACACCGGACATAGCTCAAATGAAAGATAATGAATCAGAGCAGGACCCACTGAAATGATTTTTTGGGGGTTAGGACTTTCTGGGAATTGAAGGGGTTCAAAGTTGACATTCAAAGTGTACGGTCTTTTTTTTAAACAAAAAAATCTTTACATTTCTTTTAAGTAAGGATGCATGCCGTACAAAATAGTGCACGTATACTTTCAATTCAAAATATAGTTTGTGGGCATGAAATGTACTCTTACAGTTTGTTATTTTGTATGTTTTCATTTTCAGTATAGGGAATAGACATTAAAAGTTCCTTTTCTAGAAAATAAAGGATATCTGAGGATGCCGAGTGTATGGAAAGCCAGTATATAGTTATTCTTTCGCACATAATATTTTTCTTATTTCGTTTATTTGAAAGCTGATACATTGTACAAAGGAACAAGTTTAAGTGAACTCACATTAAATAGTTATTCTATGCTCCGCCTACGACAGTAAAGCCCATAATATTATCTGGTTTTTGTGTTCGTTCGTTAATTCGTTTGTCCGTTTGTCCGTCCATTCATACTGCATTAAGATGACGTTAGTGTTGAATCTAGTCTAAGATGACGTTGTAGTCTGGTTAACTTGAAACTAGGTATACATGTTCATTAAAATATGTACTTTTTAAATTATTTACGGTTCACTGAATATTGAAAACGATTGTGCGAGCAAATCATCATAAACAAACACTCTTTTTTTTTTTATTATTCAAATTAAAAAAACTCTTTAGCTTTTTATTCTGATTTCTAAACCGCAAAGTACTATTGTATAACCATTATGTGCTTGGGGGATATACGCTCCGTTTTTAATATTTTGTTTACAATAATTGATTTATCTTTGCGATCTCGGATTAGAGTTTGGAAAACAGAGAAAACGTAAAGAAGACGTCAAAATATGGATTACTTTATTTCCCAACTAGTCCCTCTCCCAATAGAATAAACTCCGGAGAGGGGCGCACTTTTATTTATATAAATACATATATGATAACATATAGTATGTGTTCGAATGTAGGGGAATAAAAATAGTTCGTTAACAAAGAATGTTCCTTAGCTTTTTGTGTGTTTTTCGCTGTGCATTTACTGATTTTGTGTCATGGAGGGATACCCTATATCCTTTGTTTTTCTATTGTATTAAATTGTTTTGACTTTTACGATTTTCTGGCACGTTATATTTTACTCATTGATATTGATGCAGACATTTAGCAACCAAACTAGTTAGTTCATTCAGCTACAGACGTCATTCGTATTGTAGTGTCCCTTCTCCCTTAATTTGATGGACATTTCTGGTCATTTAAACGTTAAAAAACAATATATATACCGTACTGGTAGATAGATTTTCTTTTTAACAGAACGTTGTTTCATAATGTGGTGTTGTGGTTTTTTCATATACCACATAATGATTCTTAGACAAGTTGATTCTCATTGTGTTCTTTAGTGGTCGCTAGAATTGGTCGCTAGCTTGATTGGTCGCTAGAATTGGTCGCTAGCTTGAGTCTTGTTGGTCTATGTGCATATTCTACAAAGGACACTCTCCAACATTGAAGATGAGAATAGAACTCATGATAAAATTCTCTGTTTTGTTGATCTTGTAATGCTGATCATTTAGTCTGTTTAGTTTCTCTCTATCTTCTTTAGTTTTTGCTCAAAACACAAAAGAGGGTAAAAAAAATCCTCATTTAAGGGCAATCACTCCTATAAACTTTATCGACAAAATTTGACTTGTTAGTAGATCTGGCTGATCATTTTTGAGATTTAAAGTGTCTATTTATCTATAATAATTTTTATCATACAAGGCAAGACGGAAAAGAAATGGCAAAAATCGTCATTAAAGGGCAATAACTCCAATAAGGAGTCGTCGGACGATTTTCATCCTATTGTCTGAATTGTAGATCTTGTCTTGCTGATCATTTTTGCTTATTTAAGTTTCTATCTATCTATTGCAATTTTTAAGATATAAGGTAAAAACGCAAAAAAATCGTCATCAAAGGGCATTAACTCTAATAAGGAGTCGACTGACGATATCAACCATGTAGGCTTATTTGTATAAACTTGTCTTGCTGATGATTTTTTCAATTTAAGGTTTTTCTCTATCTATTATAATTTTCAAGATAATAGGCAAAAATGAAAAAAAAAAATGGTAAAATTTGTCATTTAAGTGCAATAACTCCTATAAGAAGTCGTCTGACAATTTTGTTGTAAATGAACAATTGGTAGAGCTCAACATTCTGAACATTTTTGCTCCCTGCAGATTTTCTCTATTTATAACGGTTTTCAAAATAATAGACAAAACTTGCATTTTACCCCATGCTCTATTTTTTAGTCTTGTCGGCCACCTTGGTTGGCAGGCGGGGCTCATCGGACACATTTTTTTAAAACTAGATACCCCAATTTCAACGATGACTGTGGCCACGTTTGGTTAAATTAGGCCAAATAGTTTCAGAGGAGAAGATTTTTGTAAAAGTTGTCGTTGACGGACGACGACGGACGACGGACGCCAAGTGATGAAAAAAGCACACTTGGCCCTTTGGCCAGAGGAGCTTAAAACGTACCTAATCAGGAAATTTTAACCTAGATCAATGAAACATGAATATGACATCAACATGATCAAGTTCCCATGAAACCCTGCAAGGCTGTCATGTGCACATTACAATGATTCTTGACTAAATACAGGTACATGGAAATCTAATTATAACTACATG